CTTGACATTGTTGAAGCGACTGCTGGACCGTCTTCAAACGAAATTCCATCTGCTGCCATTTGCCAGGAGGAGCAGCAGCGGCAGAGCTTGAGGTAGCGGTACTCGACCATTTAGACCAGTGGTCAGGGCCGGTGGCCCACGGATCAGTGGTAGATGGAGTCGACTGCTTGGTGCGCAGAAATTGGTGTGTGCGCACTGATGCCTGGAGGTGTCTTCCGTCTTGGTCGAGTGTGAGAAGGTGACAACCGCCTCACCAGATGCCAGCGGAAGAACTTCGGCTGGAGGTTTTTCAGCTGCCCCGACTTGCCAACTGACGCCATTGGCATCACTTCGAGCTGGTTGAAGGGGCTTTGCCTTCCATCCCCAGCTGGTGAGGGCTTTCTGCAGAGCTGCCCGCTGAATGCCGAAGGGCAAGGGGTAGACCAGGTAGATGCCCGCGATGTCCAAGTGCTCGAATCCCTCACCCGGCTTGAGGACCTTGTGGGCTGCCTCAAGTTGGTTGGCGGCGAAGCGAAGCCCCAGCTTGTTGTGGATCCGGGCAAGGCCAAGCGCGCCCTCGACACTGGATTTCTTGCAGGCAATATCAGCGATACAGGCTCCAGGAAGCCAGACCACGCCAAAGGCAGGGTCAGTGATTCGGCCCGTTGCATCCCTGGGTTCAAAGAAGATGCCGTGGGTGCCCGAGACGGTCAAAAGCTGCGTGCACGCCGATGAAGGGATCCGCACCATAGCAGACCATGAAGAGCAGGTGTCTGGTTTGGCCTTTCGGAGCATCATGCCATTGCCGGCTCCAGATATCCAAAAGCAGGGGTGTCTCCTCGTCCACCGGAGGGTGATAGAGGGCACTGATTTCCACAGCTCAAGGAGCGACAGGTGCGTAGGAGTGGGAGTACCGCCCGCAAGGTCCGTACTGGAGCAGTCGTAAAGGTCGCCCAATCTTGAGGAAAGGCATCCTGAAATACTGCAATTTTCACCGTCTGTGTAGGGGCTGAGTCAAGGTCCAGCGACTGGGCAGACTTGCGCTGGATGTGGCCTGTGCCAAGTTGGATCAACGATCCTCGTACAAGAATCGGTTCATTGGTGGCCTGGTAATGCACGGGGAAGAGCAGGTCCACAACCGGGAGAGCACCACGGTGATCAGCTGGGATGGAAGAGCATGTGAGGAGAGCAAGGGGCTGACCAGCAATGGACTTGCCCTGCTGAAGGAAAGGGATGGCTTCCTGGGCGGTGCAGAAGGCCACGCCTTGCTGGTCAGGATCAATGAGGCTGAAGGACACCTGCATCGCGTCCGTCCCATCAGAACACTGAAAAGTGCCTGGGACTAGTTCGAGCTGGTGGGGGTCAAGGTTGACAGGTGTCGGCTGCGCATCGCCGCGTTGACCACCACGTCCTTGTTGCTTCCGGTTGGAGCGCTCGACCCCAAACTGTGAGGATGCCCTCTCACGAATTTTCCTGGACAATTCGTCGGGATGAATCCACATGAAGGCGATGTGTGCTCTTGATGCAAGCGCTTTGAGAGTGGGCCAGGCGTTCTTGCTGTTGAGCGCTTGCAGGATGTCCGACGGCGGGATCTTCTGCATTGCAAGGGCGATCCTTTCTTCAATGCGGTCATCTGGGACTCCTCTGTCTCGGAGAATCGGGGCGAGCTTGTCTTTGATGTCTGCGCTGTCACTGGGGCCGAAAGCGACAGGGCCAAGGCGTGCTGGAAGGGACAGGAGAGCATGGTGCCAAGCCGCAATGTCAATCGGGGTGGTCGGTTCAACGAGGCCAAGCTCAAGTGCAAGGTGAGCAAGCATGACGGCGCCGCAGGAATAGGTGTCCTTTTGGTGGAAGATGCCAATCTTGTCTAGGCCGGCAAGTGAGCAGTTGAGGGCATCAGCCAGCTGGTTGCCAAAATGGGCCATCTGGGCTGAAGACCATCAAAGCACACAATGTGAAGACCATCGCAGTAGATGTGGCAGACCAAGAAGTACCAGTGATCCAGGATGGCGATGAGCACATGGAAGTGGTGGCCTGGGACGGCAAGGTGGACCCCGAAGTGATCGTTCTGCATGATGAGAGCCGCAGTCCAGGGATCGATCGTAGGGATGGTAGTCCGTGAGGTGGCATGGCGGTAGAGAAGCTGTGCCGTCAGCCAGATCTGGGAGGCAAAGGTGCCACGCTGACCCAAGGGTCCAGCACCATGCGGGTGAGGAACTTGGACTGTGGTATGCTTCCACTGCCGTTGGTCTGGTGAAAGATGAGCGCCCTGAAGATCCAGAACGATCCACGAAGCATTCCAAGAAGGGAGTTGTCAGAGGGCCTCAAAAAGAAAACCACCAGCGGGCATGGTGTAGGAGAGGACACTCTCCTGGTAGAGGATCTGGATGCAGATGGGCGTGTGATCGCAAGGGAGACCTGCGGACTTCCTGCAAGTGCGGAGCTGATAGGGGCCATATCTACCCGCCAGGTGGATGACCGCATCCCCAGGTAGGTCATGTGGACCATCTTGCAGCACTGGCCGAGAGCCCCAAGGGCACCATTTCCTCTCAGCACGGAGGAGGTCTTGAACTTGTGTGAGTCCATTTCGGCGTAGTGGGATCCGGGAGTCCTCATCGTCGATCAAAACCGGTGCCTCTTCATGGGCAGTGATCGTAGGCCAAAGGTGAAAGCGCTCATGCAGTAGGAATTGCTTGAAGCGCATGACAGACTGAAGAGGGTCCGTGAGGTCCTGGACGTCATGAGCTCGCTGGAGAGCACGTAGCAGATGTCCGAACTGAAGTGGGGATGCAATCTGGCCCAGGAGGCACAAGGCCAGATAAGGATCGTCCCCCAACTTGAGTTGCGATGGGACGGCCAGGAGGAGAGCCATCTCTTTTGGGTGGAAGTAGCGCAGCTTCTCAAAGACCAGCGAATGAACAAGTACTCCCCGAAGTCCTCCTTGACGGAGGCGAGCATCAGAGAAGGCCTGCCGACGGCATCCACATGGGCATCCAGTGAGGGCATTGCCATAGCTGTGGAGCAGGGTGGGACAAAGGCCATGCATGTTGAGTCGGCGCTGATCGTCCCCAAAGGCCGGGTCCTCAAAACATGCCATGGCATGATCCGTGGGGAGAAGCATCTCCTCTTCGTTCCTGGACCAGCACGGCCGTACCGATTACCGTCTTGACCTGGTTGAAGCGTTCATCCTGAGGCCAGGCAATGAAGTCACAAAGATTCACATAGTCCGGAGCCAGGATGACCCACCATCTGGTACGTCGGGTAGGCCATTGCACATGTAGAGGAAGAACAACCTCACCCATTTTGTAGTTCATGAGCTCCGAAAGTTCACATAGTCCACGGCGGATATCCGGGTTGGTGCGGGCCTCCGGTACACACTCCAGGACCACCGCCTTGGCCTGCATGAAAAAGGCCGATTGGAGCACACCCCAGAATGCGGTGCTCCGTGGGTCCTGCATAGCCAAGCGATCACCTTGTTGGGAGAAGGGTTGGCAAGGGAAGCCAGCACCCAGCACCACATCTTTCAGGGGTTCAACTGCATGAAGGGCATGTTGGGCCTCAACTGAGGTGATGTTCATCTCAAGTACCATGGGGGAGCAGTTGGCACGGCAGCAGGCCGCATTCTTGTCGATTTGAGCAAGAACGGGCATGCCATGAAGCATAGCCCCCAGACCCAGGCAGCCGACACCAGCGCAGACCTCCTTCAGGAAGAGGGGAGAGTCCTGCGAGTTCAGAGGGATGCCGATGATCTTGGAGAAGATGGTGGCCTCAAGTGAGAGCAGGCCACCCGAGAGTTCCACAACCTGGTACCTATAGAAGGTGGCTCTGTTCATGCCCTCCAAGGAGGCGAAGGCATCCAAGGGCACCAGAACCCGTTGGCCAGAGTGCAGGATGCACCCAAAACATCCAGAGCCACCCGACTGGCCAGGCACCAGAGTGACCACCCCAGTGAAGACGCGGCCAGGAGAGGCCGCAGGCAACCAAGAGGGACATGGCTTGGGCATCTATCCCCAAGGTTCTGCTGACACAGCCACACCAGCTGGTAGGAACTTGGGCCCGTGGCTTGACGGTGGTTCAACAAAATGTGGGTTTGATTTTTTTCTAACGGAATGCGCAGTTTGGCTCTGGGAATGAACCGTTTTTGGGGATTGGTGTAGACAGGTGGTCATTTGATTTCTCATTCCCTGCGGAGAACCAGCAAGTCTTGGGGTGAATCGGAATACCAAAAGGAAAGCCACCAATTGTGAGGGTCCCTATTTTGAGACAAACCCAAGTGGGTTCAAACACATGGGTTCTGGCATGTTAGATGATTGTGTTTTCGTGCAAGCTTGAACCCTATTTGCTGGAAAATTACCGATAAAGTAAGTCATGATCAGAAGATATGCAATGGTTCGATTTAGCCCTTTGTATTACACTGGGGTGAAAGGGGATGACTGTTCCAACATGGAGGAATTGTGTGTGTGTGTGCTTTCACCCAACTGTGAAGGGAGATCGTCGCCCTACTTGGGAACTCGATCCAGTATGGAAAAAAGGGATAAGAATTGGAGTAGGTTTCTCTTAATAGTACCCCGCAACCCCGTTCTCATATAGGCCCTACACCCAGTTGCTAGCTTCGGCGCCCCACAAACGTGACGCTTTGTTGGTTGGACGCCCCCGTTAACGGGGTCGCTTTATGGCCAAAAGGCAAGCTTCTCTGTTCAGCGCCCACAAGGTCTCTTTTTCACTCTGCGCGTTTCCCGACCAACACGGTCTCACTGGGTGCACCTCCAGGTTTGTCTGGGAGGGGACCCTGTGAGAGATGTTCCGTTGGTTGCCCAAGACCCATCCAAAGCACGCGCCATCCTTTGGGTTTTCCCAGAGCCTGGCCTTGGTCAGTTTGCTTTTAAAGGCGGGTTTCAGGGTGAAATCGCGTGCTTACCCTTTTTTTCAGTGGTTTCTGTGAGTCTAGGCGTAGGAGCATGGCCCTGTTTAAAGGGGAGCTGTGAGCTTGGCGCGTGCGTCTTACGCGGTTTGCGTGTCAGGCTGTTGGGCGCCGCTGTGGCAGGCCGGATGGGAAGCTTTGGTTGGACACTTTGAGAATATACAAGCGTGGCAGTTAAAAACGTTGTTTCCGGCTAGGCTTCGGGTGGTGGCTGTTGGGGATGCTGAAACCTTTTGGGGTCGGAGCTGAGACCCAGCTCCGGAGTGGTCTGGAGCAGGTTCCAGAGGGTTGGTGGTGGATTGCATTTGGAGGGTGGCGTGGAGCGGCGGTTGGATAGGGTTCCGAGGGGTTCCGGAGGGGTCCGGTACGTTTCTGCAAGGCTTCCAAGTTCTGTTTTGCAGCTTCCAGGCTCTCTTTGCAGAATAAACCCGCAACACACGCAGAGATGTTTCGTAGTGCTCAAACATGTATCAATGGAGGGTCGAACATCAACCAGTTCCCAAATGAATAGGTATCCCTTAAAATTAAGCTTGGGGCCTCGCGAGTGATTGGTTTACTTGTGCTTTCGTGCCTTTCAATGAAGCAAGTCATTGCGCGGGCCCCTAGTCCATACAAATGAGGGCAATGGATGGTTTCCCGACCCCTCCCAAAAGGATGCCCAACGGAAGCTCGAGGCGGCGACGAGGAGAAGCCGTTGCAGACCCTGCACGGGGCTTGTGGGGGCTTTGGGTGCGCCACCTGTCGCAACTGGGGCGCAGGTGTCACCTCTGCAAAGCGACGCCACTGTTGGAAGCAGACATGACGATGTCACATGCAACGTTCCATGGAGTTTGGCAGTTTCGAGCCGCAGCTTCAAACCGGCTTTTGGAAGCAGAAGCGATGCTTGCGCATGGTGTGTTCCAATGCGTTTGGGAGCTTCCGAATGCGTGTTGAACCCTTACAGCGTTCCATGCAGTGGAGGTGACTCACCGCCTGGCAATACACAAGAACACACGTCACGCTCCATGCGGGTTTCGAAGGGTGGTGACTTTTTGGACCACTGGATGCGTTGCGTTCCATGCGGGGTGGGTGCGTGCCCACGAAGTGGCGGTAGCTTCCGCGAATGTGTGAACCATTTTGTGGGCGCCTTGTTCTTTGGATTCTTCGGACTGACATCATCCTGCGCTGTGCAGCCAAGTGATAGATTGTACATTTCGCAGACGAAGTGAAGGAACCCAGATGAGCTACTCCAGAATTTGGCATTTCTCGTGTCCTCAGTTAGTTAGTTAGTCAATTAAAGATGGTCAATTCTTACCATATGTGTTTTGGTTACTTAGATGGTCATCTTGGGATATTGCCACGTGGGTTGGGTGGTGCTAAAGCTGTGGTCTACGGCCCGGGAGTTCGGGCCGGTCAGCCTCTCGAGGTTGGAGTCTCTGGCCCGGCGTGCCCAAGTGGCGGCGGACCTGGAGGCGATCTCAAGCGTTGGTCTCAAGGGTCCCACTTTTTTCTCTTTTTTTTAAACGGCGGCAATGAACTGACCCCTAGCAGCCCCTGGACTTTGCAGGGCTCGTTTTCCCCCTTTTCAGGGTCTGCTCGCTCAATCGAATCGAACTGCCGGGCTCCTTGTAAGGGGTCCCTGGCTTCGGGTGGTTGTTTCTTCACCTACTTGCTCAGCAGCAAGCTCGTTTTTGGTTCAGGTGGTTTGGAGGCAACTGGGTGCCTTCCCATTCAAAGAGAACGTTAACAGGTTGAATTTCCAAGCCAACGCAAGCCACTGACGATGGGCAGGTGCATGATTCCTCCAGGAATTTGCAGTCTGGGCGCGCGCGATCTATGTTTGGGGTACCCGGAACTGGCGCATTCCAGGCAATCTCAGAAGCTCTTGGGAGTACTCCTCGAGCTTATTCAACTCCCAAAGTGGGCGTAACTCTCAAAAAAGTAAAGTCGGTCCAGTAAATGGCAACAGTTTCTGGCAACAGTTTCCTGTTGGTTTCCCTTTCAATGCCAACCAATGGCTGCCCACCATGCACAGACTCCTCGGGCCGGAGAGGCTGACCTGCCAGCCTGCAGGGGACCTCAGGAACTCCTCCGATGCAACAGGAAGTTGGAAACCCAAAATGGCCCTAAACGTGCGTTGGACCCCAGGTGCCCTAAGTTTTGGTGTTTGTGTTTTTCCTTATGAGTTTGATTGAGTTTGTCTCAAAGGCATTTGGAGCCGGATGGATTCGCTTTCCCTTAGTTTCTATTTTCTGAGTTCAGAAACAACTTCAAGAAGGGTAGCCAGCGAGCCTCAGCAAAGACACACCCCGCTCCCGTTGGAGCCACAAAGGTTCGATGTTATGGCCACAAGCCGGGGAGTTGCGTACGGGACGTACGGGACGACAGAAAGCTGGGCCCAAGTCAGAAGCCTTACCTCAGCCCAATTCGCTGGGCCAGAGATGCCTTCATCTGATATGGGAAAGGCCTGCAAGGGGTGGGATGCACCCAAGCGAAGTGCTGGTCGGCCACCCAGACCCACATCACTGGTCGGGTCAAAGCAGCAGCGAAAGCATAGAGCTACTTTATCTGAATATGGTCCAGCATTGACAACCCCTCGCCTGCCCCTTGTAATGGTGGTCAGGACCATCCCCCTGTGGTCCTATGGCGGGGTTCAGGCTTGCGAAAGGCTTGGTTTAGGGTCGGTTTGGGCTGGGTTTAGGATTGGTTCAGGCTTTAAGGCTTGGTTTGGGTTGGTTTTGGTTGGGTTGAGAATTGGTTAAGGCTCGGGTTGGCTTTGGTGGGCTTAGGGTTGCTTGAGCACATAATTCGCACAACATCTAGACATTTCAGTGGGTCCCATATTTCATTTGGGCCTAATAAGTGGAAATATGGACCAAAACCTGCGGTCCCCTGGTGCTTTGATTTTGACCCATACCCATTTGTCGAATTTACGCGCAGCTTGGCATCCGGACTTGGAATCGACTCGAGGCGTCGTTCTGTGGAGCAGCGAGCTGCAAGCGCTGGGCTCAAGCCCGGCACCCGGTTCCGAGTCGGACCGGCTCCATATTTCGCCAAGGCTCCAAACTTTTCCCCATGGAAACGCCGACTTTCGGGTTTCCTGACTTGGTCCGGACATGTCAAGGTTCAAGGTTTCCAGAACTTTTGTTTCAAGGTCGGAGGGCAAGTGAATGGCCAGCAACCACTGGCAGCCGGGAAGGCAAACGGAGATTGTTTAAATAGTGGCATGAGCGTGTAGCAATTGGTTGGCCTCAAGCTGGTTTTCCGTTTGAAGCCATGCAATCAGATAGGCATGTCTTTCTTGTTTCAAGGTATTTTCTTTGGAGGGATACTTCAAATGGAGAACAAAAGGAAACCACTCATGTTGGAGGTCCCCCCATTTGGGCTGGTGGACATGAAAGCCTTGAAGCAAAGTTCCCAACTACCAGCCGACATCTTGTCCTTGTTCTTGCCATGGTCACCGCGCCACACAGTTTTCAGGCAGTTCTTATTTTCCTCTGTTGGGTTTTGAAGGGAACGGTCAGGACCGATACATATATTTGTTGTTTTGCAGAGACGCCTCAAGCTCGAAAGTCAACAGGTCAAACCACTTTAGCGAGTAGCTGCAAGAGCCCTGCCAGATACCTTTCTTGGGCGAGTAGCTGCCACTGCTTGATCAATGCGTGTCAACCCGCGAAGGCGTGAAGCTGGCGCCAGAACTGCACGTTTGAAAACCTGTACGTTGGGCAGAAATGGAAGCCATCCGACTGCGCAACGTGCGCACAGAACTCAAGTCGCCAGTCTTCGGTTGCCAAGTCGCCATAGGATTTCACGTGTCGAACAACATGATTTAAAGGAAACCCAAAGGGGAAAAGCCCCATTTTAGGGCCCCCGGTGTTGAGAGGGCACCCTCGTTTCATTTTTCTGGGGGGGGCGGGGGGGCAGTGCCGAGAAACCCCCGCCTTCCACGGCGCAGGCCTCTCCGAGTTCGCAGAGCTGCAGCTGAGCCCGGAGCTGTTGCGCCTCGTGGCCCGCAGGCGGGAGGCGTCGATCGGATGCGGCGATCCAAGCGGGTCAGCCGGGGGGATGGGGGGGTGAAACGATTGTGTGTTCTTTCACCCGCCTTTTCGGGCGGGGGTTGGAGGCTTGGGGCCTTTTGCTTTTCGTGTTTTTTTTTTTGCAAATATTGGCTTACGTCGAGAGGCTTGGGCAGGCACAGGTCGCTTGGTCCGGGCTTCGCGACGTGGCTCTGTGGGAAACTCAATGTCATCGATCTGTGATGTTTGCATAGCATGAATGTCGACCTTGGACGAATCATTTTCGCCGATTCCATTGGGCTGGTGTTCCCCTGAACCGTGAGTTCCCTTTTTCAATAAGCAAGTTGCAAACCCACCCCCATAGAAGCCAACCAGGATTCGTTGTTCATCCACATGGCTCATATGGCTTGACGTGAGCTCTCGCGGTGCCATACGTCAGGCCCTCTGGTTTGGGCAACTCAGCAGTGGCGCGGCAGCCTGACATCGGAATGGACCTCATGCTCTCCCGAAGATGGAACTTGACCCGGGTGGGCCATTTTCCTCTGGGAATTTTCGGGTGAGTTCCATGTACGGGAGGGAAGCCTCGCCCGGGGAAAAGTGCTTTCTTGAAGCTTTCCCGTGGCTCAGGCCTCCTGGTCCCCTGGTTTCATCTGAGGTCTGCTGGTTGCGGCACGCCTCTGCGCCGAAGCGCCCCAGCGTGTCACCGAACCCGGAGGAGCGGGGAGGGGTCTGAAAGTTTGGTTTCATACTCCCAAAAAGTGGCACCCCACTTTTCGTTTTGCCTCCCAAAAACTGAACCCAAAAGGGTTTCCTTTTTCTCTACCAGGGCCACCTGGTAACTGGGAATTCGTGCCCTTTGTGCGATATTCCTCGTAACGTGTCATATGTTGCCTGACGGTACCGATTTCCAAATCGTGGCAAGAGCTTGCCGAGCATAGCTTAGTGCGAGGCGGATGCACCAAGATCACTCCATTGGACCAGTGAAATTCCATCAGTACCCATGCACTTTTGACAACCAGTAAAGAGTATCCAAGATTCCAACACAATCCAAGTGAACGCAACAGATTAGAAAACGTCTTTGGATGTGTCAGGCTGGTCACAAAGTCCCCTCACGACATCTTGTCACATCTGGAGTCCCCCTTCCTTGCGACAATGAGAAGCCGGACACATGGTGCAGGGTCTCTTTGCCCCACAAGGCGACTTTGTGTGACAGTTTCCTTGCGAGATGTAGGGAATCGACAGGTCCCCCTGTGGCTCGATGGGAGGCTCCCTGCGATGCGCTCAGAAAGAGCTTCGAGGGCCCGCCCAGCCGGCCCAGAGCCGTACAAGGCGCGGGAGAGGGCCCTGGGCCTCGACGGACGCGTGGAGTTCGGCCAAATGAATGTAGCCATGGTTCAAAACCAATGGTACCATTTTGGGATAGGTGCACCACCCCTTTTAGATAGTGGGAATTGGGATGTTTACTTGGGGTTCGGGGTTTTGACCCATGGCCATGTCCCGGGTGGAAGTTCCTCCGAAAGTGAATGTTCTAGCGGGAAATTAGTAGACCGCCGTATTCAGGGGCTGTTGCTTTCTTCAGTGGGAAATGGCTGCGATCAGGAGTGAACACTATCGGTGGAAGCCCCAGGCCCTATACCACAAGTAGGGAAGGATTCTCGCGTACCATGACGTGGCTCCTTTTTAGGTTGCCTCGCATAGCCCTGGATGAACATTCGGATTGTCAGAGGTGCTATGCACACATGCCATCCACAGAGAATTCTCCAGAATCGGATCAATATATGTTCACGTTGTGCTTTCGAGCTGGGCTTGTTTCAAAAGCAAGCTGCCGTATTGTTGTTGCCCGCAAGCCCCAAGTTGTGAAACACCATTTTGGAGCCAGGGCTAAGGGCAATCCGCTTCACCTCGGCACCTGGGTCGCGGCGAAAAGAGGTTCCAACCCAGCAGCTAGTAGAATGATAAGAATGGCAGTAGAAACAGTAGTATTGATAATGATAGTGACATCATAGTAGGAATAGCAATAGTAGTGGTCGTAGCAATACTAGTGGTCGTAGTAGTAGTAGTAGTAGCAGCAGCAGCAGCAGCAGCAGCAGCACAGCAGCAGCAGCAGCAGCAGCAGCAGCAGCAGCAGCAGCAGCAGCAGGAGGAGGAGGAGCAGCAGCAGCAGGAGGAGGAGGAGGAGGAGTAGTAGTAGGAGTAGTAGTAGTAGTAGTAGTAGTAGTAGTAGTAGTAGTAGTAGTAGTAGTAGTAGTAGTAGTAGTAGTAGTAGTAGTAGTAGTAGAATCGTACAAGTAACACTAGGAGCAAAACTAATAATGATAATAATAATTTTAGAGGCACTCCTAAACATTTTTCCCTGATGGCTTGGCATTTTTGCAGACACCTCAAATTAACACCCCGAAACTCTCTTGAAGGAATCCCCAGGTGAAGGAGGGCTTTTAGGCGACCTTCTGGGCAGGGGAGGTGGCATGATTCTTGGAGGTTTGCCAAACTGACAAGTACCATCCCTTGCGTTGCGGCTATCTTCCGCAGGTGTTTGGCAGACCCAAAAATGATTTGGCCTGCCAGACTTGTCAGGGTCATGGTCTATCCTTGGATGCGCCGCCAAGGATGTGACCCACGGCGTTAAAATTGGATTTCGGTGGTAGCCCTCCAAGAGTTTCCTGGGAAACCCTTGTGACCAACAAGGTTATAGGACCAGTTTCCCTCGCAGCTGGAGAATCGGCTGAGGCACTTGGACCAAGAACCGTTTGAATCCAATGGTCGTCGGTCGGTCAGGGCCGGGAAACCTGCAGGGCGCTTTGTTGCTTCTGCGGCAGCGGCTTGGCCCGAAATCGAATTCTGAACCGGGCAACCAATGATCTGCGTCGGGAGGGCGGTCTTTGTTTTTGTACTTTTGGGTGTTTCCTTCTTTGTTTGTTTGTTTGTTTGTTTGTTTGTTGAGCAGGGCTTGAACTCTGGAGATGTCATTTATCAGCTGTATTTTTGACACGTCAGCACACAGAAATGCACTTAAGAGAAGCCCCCCTTGCCAACAGTCCGCTGCACCTAGCGTTTGATAATATGCTAACTACCGGCCCTGGTTTTGCCAAGTGCTATGAGTGTGGCTCGGACGGAGGTGTGCAGCTGCTTCGTTGTTTTTGTTGGTTAAGCTTTGCGTTTTCTTCGAGTTCAAGCTTCTGGCAGATACCGCTGTGAGCAGCTCTGCTCATCGATTTCCTCGTGCGAGCTGGCCCGAGGCTTTTGGCTGAGCCACGCCGCCTGTTCAGCAGGAAGCCCAGGATGATGTGACTCGTATTTGTAGAGACAGCACGGTCCAACAAGGAAACCAACAGCTTAAACAAGGTAACCAAACCGTCAAGAGCTCGCCGACACCCCCATCGTTGCTGCGGTGATTAATGTGGCCGATGTAATGCGTATTATATATATATATATATATGTATATATATATATATATATATTTTAACAATGGTTGGTGTCGTTGTCGTCGCTATCGTGCATCGGCGCCGTCGCTTTCGGTGTCACCGTCGCGTTGCTGTGATTGTTGTGGTTGCGGTTACTTGCGGGGAGGGTCGATAACCACAGTTTTGTGGGCCTGTGGGGCTCTTTGGCCCGATCAGATCGGTCACACACTCGGCCAGCAGGTTGCGACCATGAACAGGTGCGCTTTCAAGCATCTCATGGGCTGGGCAAGCCCCAGATCGGCTCTCGACCCCAGGCCCCGGGATAGGCCCCGAGCTCAGCCGATGAGCGAGAGAGAGCGAGAGGGGTGTTTTTTCAAGTTCGGAGAGGCTTCCGAAGGACTCGCAAGGCTGGCATCAAGTTGATTTGGGTTGAGGGGGAAATTCCCAGGACTCCACTCAATGAGGTCGTCACTCGGCTGTTTGGGTGCATCACGGTTCGAAGGCCATTGGGTCATGAGCTCACGAACAAATTCCTCCACCTCCCCTCCCAAGGCTTATTGGCATGGGCAAAACCAGCTTGTCGAGCCAGCTGATTCCTGGAGACTCAATTGGGCTGCGGGAGAGCACGGCGCAGCACGCACGGGCTGGCGCATTGCCCGCAGATGTGCCGAATGTGTCAACAGGTCAGCCGCAGTCTTGGGCCCTTGACATTGGAAAATTCCTGGATCCCCAGTGGCCCTTATTTTCCAGCCACTTTTGCCAAAGTATGGGCTACTAGTGGGTAAAGTGGCTGGAAAAAGTGGCTTCTTTTGGGATTGAGGTTGACATGAATTAGCGGGTTGCCAGAAACATGACCCCGTTTTGGGCCATGAAAGAGGATACCAAAGAGGGCCCCCAATTCATTTGGGGTTTGGGGATTTGTGTTGAGGGAAGCTGACTGTTTCCCTTGTGGAAGTTAAAACGGGTACCCCGTGTATAACAATACAACTCCCACTTCGACCCGAGCGGAAGCTGAGGAGTTTTTGACCATCGACTGGCCCGAGCCTTCAGGCGAAGAGATGGCCCTCGGGGCGGCCCTGCGTGCGCAGCGCGGAAACGAGGAGCCCGGAGCCCAAGTTTTTGTTGGCCGAGTTCGTGCCCGTGGTTCGACAAGTGTGTGGAGGGGGTTGAAACGCCTTGTTGGTGCGTTTTTGTTTTTTTTTTTCTCTTTTTTTTTTCTCTTTCTTGGTCTCCTCGATTTTTTTGCGGGGCAGCTTTTCCTGGTGAGCCTTAAAAACTGCAGTTGTGGTTTCCGTGCTTCTTCTTTGTGAGGGTTTCCTAAATCAACTACGATCTAAAGCTGAGCTCAAACAGGCCCCTTCAACCTTAAATCCACAGAAGATCCAGTGACCTTTTTGCTCAGTGGAGCAACCCAGTCAAGCGGGTGCTTCGTTTTTGGGGAGTTGGCAGAACTGGCACTCTTTGTTGTTGCTTGTTAACGAAACCTAAGGGAACCCACCCATGGGGTTGCCCCCATTTTGAGACAACCCCGTCGACCTGGGGGTGTCTTGTAATCCAAGTCTAATGTACGAGAATCCTAGCGATTTGTCCAAACACACTTAGGTTTGCCAAAAGTGATTTCTGATAGTATGGACACACAGCAACTGAGCTGCACAGAGTCGCAGGAAGGCAGCGCCGCTCAGAGTTTGTTTCCAAGCACGAATGGGACTTGGCGACAAAGCGACGTGCGAAAAATCAGGTCTCGAAAATTATACGGTCCATTGAAGACCTGTACCCCAAAGGCGCAATGGTTGCGAAGGAAGCCCCGCCCCAACTCCCAACTTCGTCCTTTGGATTGGGGGAAGTAAACAATTAAAATTGGGTAACCCAAGCCATACCCTACCCCTCCGCGAAAAGTTGGTCAGCATGATATCCCAGCTTGTCTCATCGTCCCAGGTTATTGCGGCAGCTGAAGATCGAGCTTTTGGAGGACCGACTCGCGTTCGGCCGTGCTGGGGGCCGGGCCTACGTCCGGGTTGCTGTGTTTCTGAGCACCGCAACCCAGACATTGGGCCGACATGTTGCGATGGCCCATGGCGCCGTAGGTTAGGACCTTTCGAATTCCTATTGCGATGCTGAAAAGGCAGTCAAGATGGTTGCTTTGCGGAAAGCGATAGCTCATTCGCTGCTGACAGTTCTTGGCCAAACATCCTTGAGGTGAGTCACAATCAAAACTTTAGAGCCTCCGGCTCAGTCCGCCGACATTGCAGCGCTGTAGGCAAGTTCCGGCCCTAGCGGCCGGCAAGCTTGAAGCCTTTCTGTCGGGCGACGTGCGCAGGCCAGGCACAATGGAGCGGCATTCTTCCATCAAGCGTTCAAGCACGCAGTTCACCTTGTCGTTACCCTCGGGCACGCTGTCTCGGCCACTGCCCCTTCATTTCGCCTTCATTTCCTTTTCATGTCCCGTCATTGTCCATAATTCCGCATTATGTCCCCTTCATGTCCTTTCAATTCCACCTTTATTTCCATTTCATTTTCTCAGTATGTCTGCTTCATTTTCCACTTATGTCCCACTCATTGCTAGTCATGTGCCTACATCTCCCTTCATGTTCGTTGATTTCCTCGTCACTGTCTGTCATTTCCCTTCGTTTCCCCTTCATTCCCCCTGCATTCCCCTTCTTCCCCCTGCATTTCTCATTCTTTCCCCTTCATGTCCCGTTGAGCTCCCCTTCGTCTCCATTTCATTTCCCTTGATTTCCTGTCATTTCCGCTTCCTGTCCCCTGCATGTCATGGCATTTTCCTGGATTTCCCTTCATGTCCCCTTCATGTCCCCTTCATGTTCCCTTCCCTTGCATTTCCCCTTCATTCCCCGTTATTTCCATGCATGTCCCTCGAAATTCTCGAACAACACGGTAGTTGTCAACGTTTTCGCAAAAAGGATGTCAAAGCAACACTGAGTTTTTCAAGGTTTTCAGCAAAAGGAAGCGCAAAACCCGAGCCGGCAGAGAGGTGGCAGGGGGATTCGAGCCTGGGACCCCCTGTTTCTCCAGACCCGCTCCCCGAAGACTATTTTTATAAGTGTCCCGGGGGGGTTAAGGGGGGGAGTTAGTTATCCTCTATCCTCTCTTAGGTATCCGACACGGCAAACAATGTCGGCGGACTCGGGCAAGCTAAGGCTAGTAAGGGAAGGTCGCGACTACAAATGGGTGCGGCCGCCGCGTTGTTCTATTTTTGCATTGGCACGGTTCGATTGTAACTCACACAAACTTACGGGTCGGTCCATTTGGGGATTTTGCCAGGGCGAGGAAACAGTGCCTAACGGCAAAAGCACCCTTCCTTTCGGAGGGAATCAGGGGTCAGGAACAGCGCGAAGCCAGCTATGCCGTTGCAGCCGATGGTGATTTGGGACAAAAGAAAATTGCATCGCACTTTCGCCCCAGAGTTCGGAATGTAGACATCCAAATTAAATGGCTGTGGGTCAAGAAATGTGTACCACAATGGAACCCTGCTAAGCGGAAACATGGACTCAAACCTGCGTAGCATTGCGTAGCCACTCCTGTTTAATTTTGAGCCACACCCAAATGTGTTTCAGGATTCCTGCCTGAGAGAAGCCATCCTATTCCCCGGTGGCAAAGGTCAGGTCCTGAAAAAGTCAACACGTGCTGAGCTGGACCGGCATTGTTGGTTGTTTGCCAAACTTGAAGTTTTATCTCACACAAGTGCATTGACTGGACCTAGGAACCAAGTGGGCGTGTTTGTTTGCCCTTTGTCACCCCCCCAACACAGGTACCGAATCAAAAAGAGGAACCACACCCAAGCAACTCCGAACTGAGGTGATGCTATAGTAGGATTCCATTCCTCCCAAACCTGGAACCCAGAAGCTCCAGGACTTCTTTTTGGGATTCACTTCCCCACTTCTGCAATGGCTCCCATTTCATAGTCATAGCTGTGGTTTTTTTCCAGGGTAGCCTGAAGGTTGGCTCATCACACAAGAAACGGAACATCTAAACAAAGGCCTCCCTCAAGGTCGGTTAAGGAGACAAGAAGGAACACCTAAAGGAGACAAGAAGGAAAACCTAAAGGAGACAAGAAGGAAAACCACCTGACCAACGACGATGCTCAGATTGGGTTTGGTTGGCTCAGCCTGGCTGACCGATCCACAGGAGGCCTTGGCGCCCCACTCGGAGCCGAGCTCCTCCAGCTCTGCGGCGCCGCAGGGGGCCGTGGCGGAGCAGGAAAAATCTCCCAATCCGCCCGCGGATGGGTTGGGAGGGTTTTGGTGCGTCTTTTCCGTGTTTTTTTGTGGTTTGGGGGGGGGGGCTGGAAGGTATTTGGTTTGCGCCTCTTCAGTTCTTTACGTGGGCCACTTGCTCAAAACCGATTCGGGTAGATGAAGGTTAAGGGACAATCCCAAACAATATATAGCTGCGGATATCCGCCTTCTTAATTTTTTAGATGGTTCCGGGCAGAACATTTTTTCATACTGGGTTTTGATTGTTTGATCTCAATATGTTCCATCATTTCAGTGGGTAAAGATCTATACCATCGAACACTTGCACCGACCCCAAGCCTATTTCATGTTTTTCCGTCATCCTCACTTGCCCGCAGGACCTGGAAATAAAATAAACGAATAACCTTTTGGAACCTTGACTAAATATTCGCCAAATCAGGCAAACCAAAAGGTGAAGAGCTCGATTCGCTTTCAAGGCAGGAGGGGGTTCCCATTTACCCGCCAGCACCAAAACTTCAAATCCAAATCCAAACCCATCCCAACCACCAACTAAGTTTGGGTTGGACCAATGCCAACAGGATCACCTTTGGCATTTGGGAGCTCCGTGTCAGCTTGAAGTGAGTATTCATGCTTGAACAGTTTGTCTTTGAATTCTCTATATCGGGGAACCGCCAAAATTCGTGGTGTCCTTTTGGTTTCCCTTCAAGGCAATCCCCAAAAGGGTACCCCCAAACATGCGTCCCATTTGTTTTCTTGGGCGGACCATTCGCAGCGAAGTCAATCAGGAGCTGTTCGACTCTCTCCAGGAGTCGCTGGAGAAGGACATGTCATTTGAGCATCCGCAGTCGTGAACAAATTGAATTCAAGACGGTCTTATTTTGGAAACACCGCAAGCAATGCAGGTTGTTGAGGTACCTAGGTTGCAAGCCCAGACATCAAGACGGACTCGGCAGAAATTACCCATCTGACGTGGAACCTACCATTTCCTTGAGGAGACCCTCTGCCCCATGTGGGTGTCTTTAAAATAGTGAGTGGACCCTGAAACATGGCGGTTGCCCTTTGGTTTCCCTTTTTTCACCACCCCTCGGGGCATCAAGCAAAGACACCTTCATGTTAGTCGACACTCATCCCCTGGTTCCGAACTTCCGCCACTCGCTCGCTCACTTTCGTAGGACCGAGCGCACCTGGGGTGCCAGGCGGATGGGGCCCAACGGTGCGGTTTTCCGTGTGGTTTCCCTTCAAATTCCAATCGGGCAATTAGCCGGAAAAAGAAGTACCCCCATGAAACGACCAACCACCAAAGAAAAACAATCCCCAAAGGAAACCCTGCCCTCCCCAACTTGGAACCCACTTCGCTCCTTTGTCCTTTGAGGAAACTGGTCTTCCAAGAACCCATAGTCACTTTCCATGTTAGATGGGAGGGTAATGTTGGGTCCCTCTATTTGGACACCTACCCATTCCTGTTTGCTATTTGGTTGGGCCGTAGGCTTTAAACCCTCGTGCCCACTTCCACGACTGGAAGGGAACTCATTGGTGCTTGAACCTGAATTGAACATCCTTATTGATGGTTAAGTTTACATCTGAGCACTTCAAGCAATTGATAGCTTGTTTGAGCAGTGAATAGGGGCTATCAAGGAGGTCATAACCGTCCCATGGCTCCACCAGGCTCTGAATCAGAGGTGGTGAGCATGGGGGTTTTGAAAGGGCCCGCTACCGCCACAGTTTCTTATGGTTTCCCTTCCAAAATATATTTGGTTTTTCTTTTGGTTTGCCTTCAACAGCTTCCAAACAAGGGGAAATCCCAAAACATGTCCTTTTGGTTTGCCTTCAGAAGCCACCAACAAATGGGGAAAGTCCAACAATGTCCTTTTGGTTTTCCGTTGAAAGCCCCTAACAAACGGGGAACCAACTCCAAAAAATCCAGCAGACCCATTTCGTGAACCCGCCAGGTGCGCAAGCTGCGTGGCCTACGCCTGGCGGTGCGCCTGGCCGCACAGCGCTGCCTCGAGGCACAGCGTGTGGGTTTGGTCCCTTTGCAGCAGCGCCGAAATGGGAGAACCCGCAAAGAACTGAAAAACAACATATTTGTTTTGCCCCGAAACTGATGTTTCCATGGAGAACCAAGGGACAACACCTTTCTTGTCTTCCCGTTGGTAAGCTTTTGTAAGCATGATGTTTTGATGGCTGCAAGGGTGACCAGGTTCTGGGCTTTAATCGATTCGTCCCAAAGGTTTGGTCAGGATTTGGCTTGGTTCCCCTTTGAGGGCAGTTTTAGTGACCTCAGCACCTGCTGCTTGGGCCTCAAAACCCGAATTTGGGACAGCCCAAGACTGGCTGTGGGATGGACTTGGGGCCGATTTTTTGTGGGTTGGCCCGGTTTGCACCCAACGCCTCTCAAGCAAACAAACCGGGACCAATGTGGCAGTCCAAAGCCATCATCTTGGCTGAAGGAAACCTGGCTTGTAAACACAACAGTGAAAGAATCAAGCAGGCGCCAGCGCCAGTTTGCTAAATTTCGTTTTGACTCCACAACGCAGCACTCGCGTGGATGATTCTTCCGTTTCAACCTCACCTTTTCTAACGTGTTGTCTACATTCACCCAGCTGCAATAGTTGACAGCGCGGTTTCAATGGTTGGCTGAACTGCGATGCACTCACCGTTTGTAGCCACAACATGTTTTGTGCTGATCTTGGGGCAATCTCGTTGCTGCTGTTGTGCATGCCTCTCTGCGCCTTGCAGTCATGCTCCATTTGCTTGCATCCAAGCGTAGCTCCAGTCGTACGCTAGGCCCCTTTCCGATCGCTTGGCGTCGATGCGCAACACGTGCCGTCGCCACTGGCAGGTCACCCAGTGCCTGCGCCGCTGTGCCAAGGCCGACAGAAAGTAAGCGGCTTGGGTGATCGCACAGAAGGGGTTGTCGATTCTTTCAAGAGACAACGAGCAAACGAGCAAACCGGAGGTTTCCATGAAGCAGACAGCTGAGATACCTTGATAGGGGATCCAGGACAAACTCCAGAGGGGCGACAAGGTCTGGATCGCCTGTACGATGAACATGGATCAGCGGACCAGTACAAAAACGGGCCGGCTGGGCGATGATCGGTTGCTTGACATATCTGCAATTTGCAGCTGTTTCCAATCAGCATGGACTTGACATTGTAGGATCGAGACGTGTCGCAGCTGATCCGAACCAACAGTTGTGGAGGTGCCGATCCCTTCGCATCAGAGGGGGATTTCCAAGCAACGACGTGTCAATCCTCGTCGAGTCAACATGCAAAACAATATTACGTGCGTTCACACATCAAGTTTTTTGGAGGGTCTCTTCCAAGACTGGGTGATATGTAGGATAGAATGAACATATCAAAGATAATCCGACCCTATTATTTTCTGTGTACCCCACAGGGCCACTAGTTATGCATGTGTGAATTGGCCGGGTGTACGTGGTGCTGAGCTCAACCTGTTAGTGTGGTTTGTGGCTGGGCTGAGGCGCAGCCGTTGCTGAAGATTTGGCAGTTCCGTGATGCCTAGCGCAGTGATCAAACACTAATTGCTTAGTGTACTGCAGGTGATACTTTTGCATGTTGATTTCTCGAATATCAGGGATGATGGTTGAATGAATCAAGTCTTCCATCGCTGTCTTTAGACTATGAGCATGGCAATGGCTGGCACATAAATTTCCCGTTGGAGTTGGGAACTTCAGCGAATGGTGGAAGCAAGCCATCGACTCTGTTTATTTCAGCCCACTTTCGTTCTAGTGAGACCTCATCCAGACTAAGCAGTATTCATCAGTTTTGAGCTTTGGCCTGTGCAAAAGGGGGCTACTGTTTCCGTGTTTTCTCTGAATGTACACTATACTCATGCACGGGTCAATTCACCTGGGTACCAGTCACCTTGAAGGGACCAAACACACGGTGATGTGGCCAGCGCATTATGGGCAGGAGCCAATTTTGGTGGAACTTGACAGGGGGGGTCACCTGGTTTCAAGCTAGAGAGCTGTCATTTGTAATCGACATGTTGTTGGCAGTGTAGCCAGTTGCGAGGCATGCCGCATTGTCGTTGGATTCTATCGTCGGTCCTTAAGGATGGTGTCTCAAAATCTATTGGAGACTGTGCCGGTACAAAGACCAAGCGCTCTGATTCTTTCTTTGGCCCTACACGCAGGGTCAGCGTTTGTCGAGTCTCAGGTGTAGGAACTGGCAAACTGATGGCACCGCCGCAGGGGCAGTGATAACTCAAGCAAGATTCTCGCGCAGATTTGACGCAAAACAACAGCTCAATCTATTGGCGTTCCAAACATGCAGGAACTTGACAAGGCGAGCAGCAAGCAAATCCAGCTCATAAACACTGGAATCACAAAAAGCAAAATACTGGAGTCTGAGATTGAGAACTCGCCCCTCTTAATTGCTTCTATTAGGCTTATATTGTTCATGCTTGTCTCTAACAGAGGCAGCACAGTTCATGAACTTGCAACCTTGTGCTGGGCCAACCTAATACATCGAGGCGGTTGCCCACTTTCCTGGAGATCTGTCCTCAAGGGGATCGATAAAGCATCTGGTTGAGTCATGGCATGTGAACCAAGGGGACCTTCTGCTAGTTTGACGCATAACTGCAAATTGGTTATCCGAAGGATGCGAGGTGTCCAAAAAGCAGCCCCCAATTGGGTATGGGTCAAAGTGAAACCACCGGGACCGCATATGCTTGTGTCCTGTTTCCATTTGCCAGGGTGCCATTTTTGGGTTCATTTTGTTTGACCCACGCCCAACTCAATGTCTTTCACTTTCCCCTTGAGCACCGGCGCCACTTTTGAATCAGGGCGCCTGGACACTGCGCTTCGGGCGATGCCTGCAGATGCTTTGGGAGGGCCACGAATCTCTGCCGGAGCTCTGCGTGGTGGCGCCTGGGCCCTGGCTCCGTCCCTTCGGTTCCTTCGACTGGACGGGATGGCCACGGTTTGTTTGTGGGGAAACCCTCAAAGACGCTGTTGCTGGACATAAATTTCTCCCTGCATGATGTGCACCCAAGGGTCCCCAATTCAAAATCAGGCCCAAATGATTAAGACCAAGCTAAAACCAGTGCCATGTTACACAAACTATCCTGAGGACACCTATGGACAGGGCAGGGAACCTGCTGCCCCGGATTAGAAGCGGGGATTTGGGCTCGGACACGCGGCTGTGGCACGGCTTCCTATTGACAATTGTGCGGTGTTCTGCCTGATTTCATGGGGTTCATGTGTGCGCCGTTCGCCTTATGCTGTCACTGTCTTTTTATATATATATATATATATGTTTATTCATGGAATGTTATTTTAAGTATATCTGTATTTGACTTGAATGTGGTTTAGTTACTGTTTGTTTTACTCATGTAAACTTGATTCATGCTTGGACTCTTCGCCGTGATATTTTGCATGGATTACGCGACCATATCTTTATCCCTTGCAATCACAGTTGGGTTAGGTCCGCACTGTCCTCAACAGGCGACTCCATGTTTCTCCCGTGGCAGGGTTTGGCCAAGTGTTTTGGAACAGCTCGGCCATGCAAAGGGCCTACCTGCCCAGACCTTGCGCCATTTTCTAGGCCCCCGAGCATGAGCGCGCGGCGAACAAGTCCCAGGACTGGAGAGGGCCTGTGGGCTGTGGGGGGGAGGGCGTTTCTTGGCTGACCCCGCTTTGATGATTTGGCAGTTAGCTGTTTGGCCATAGTAACTAGGAACCCTATGACACGGGCCAACTGGAGGTTGACTAGGGATTGCTAGGCACTTTGCTAATTCCCGGACCCCAGACAACTCCACACCACTACCCGCCCTTCGGCTTTGATCCTGCAATCCATATCCGAGGCTTGAAGCAAGAGCTGCGTTGAGGAACCGTGAGAGAGCATGCCAAAACGGGGATAGTGTGAGAGGGGACCGTCATGACTCATGACCAACCATCCGTTTCGAAGGATCCTGAGCTTCAACACGGCATGCTGCCTTTCCTCCTTCCAAGCCATGCCACTTGGAGCCTTCATAGAACAGCAGGCGTCACCCCTAAAAGCTTGCGGTTCGGCCTGCTTGACGACTTGTTGCTGCCGGGTACCCGGACGCCAAAACCTAAAAGCAACCCTGTCCCGGGGACTGCACTCGGACGGGCCGTTATCATCCATTCCATGTACCTCTTTTGCGATCTTAGTCATCTTGGATGGGATGAGTTCACCGGATTGGGTTCCACGAAGGCCGTTTGGAGCCCAGAATGCTCGTGACAATAGAAATAAGTCAAAATCACCCACGTAATCCTTCAACAACATAGATGGGTGTGTGTTTTGGAGGGTGTTCTTTTGAGGGGGGAGGGACATGAAGAGGGCATCAGGTATTTTAGGGGTCCCCCTGTGTGACACATACCCAAATCAGAACAAGTGATAGCGACCTAAGGCGGTCAATTTCTTATTTCAGGTGGTGGATTGACTAATATTCATCCAAATCAAAGTTCACGCAGTTTCACTTTCTCAGGCCATGGAGTAACGAGACAAACCAAGCTCTCCGCAAAGGGTCGACTAAAATTCACATGTTTGTTCTTTTTCCCACATGGATGCTGCCATGCAAATATCTTAGCTCTTCCGACGGAAGCTGTCCCTCCCGGCTCGGCTCGGATCCCGAATTCCGTGCTCTCGAGGCGCCACAGAGGTCTCTTTGGCGTGTTCGGACAGGCAGGAAGGGCCACTGGGAACTTTTAACATGTTGGAGGCTGCAAACCCTGCGCTCGAGAACCAGAACACAAGGGGTTGTCATGCCCAAAGTCTGTGTGATTCCGAAGCCGCCCTACAAAAACGGAGGGTTTGCAGGTTCCAGGTGTTTTTTTCCAGGCTTCCCAGCGTTTTGCCAAAAAAGGCAACTTTTAGGTTCCAAGATTCGGAAACGCTTGAAGCCCTGCAGTTGAAGCGTTTGTGGTCAAGTGAGCATGTCAGGCTTCGCTGCAATGAGGTTGCAGTAGTTCTACAAACAGAGTACCTTGGGCCAAGATACCTTTGCATCTTCATGGAAATCTGGGGGCTGATCTGAATGGGGATGCGCATGGCCTTATCGGCCCCGCCTGAAGAAGGAGTCATGCAGTTTGGAAATTATGTTTCTGGATGGAGCAAACTTGGTGGCCACGATGGCATACTTGTGCCATTCTTACTTTGGCCGTTTTTGCCCCGCGCTCTACGGATTCATTCCCTTTGTTCCCAGTTATTGTCAGAGGTTGCAGCACGTTTTGGAGTAAACGGACTCCGACCACCCTAACTTGGATGAATCGCACCCCTGATTGTTCATCGGGGAGATCGCCCCAGGCAGCCAACAAACAATCTGCAGACCATCCATTTGTAAATACTCTCCTTTTGTATTAGAGGACCCCGTTTCAAGTTGTCCGGCTTGGTTTTTCAATGGTAATTGTTGTCTTGCGCAAGTTCGGGATTTGCTAACCATCCAAACAGGGGGGATCTCAAATTGAGATGCCACATTTCGCCGAACATTTTGGCTGGAATCATCGCCTTTTGCCACGGTCAAATTCTGAGTTTCGATATGATGTTGGGGATTTCCCACTCCTGTGCCACGGTCTGCTTTTGCGCGGGGGCCAGAACCCAAAGGGAAACCTTTGGCATTTTGGGAAATGGTCCGATTCCTAGAGTGATACACCCACCTGGCTCAACCTCCAGCTAAAAATGCGTGTGAGTATCCCCGGCTGAACCTCCATTTGGACCCCGCCGAATTGGCGGTTCTGCCAGGAGGAGCGCTCCGGCTTACCATCCAAGGTCCGAGTGGTGCACCGAAGCTCCTGCCGGAGGGCCAAAAAGTCGCCGACAAAATGGCCAGTCAGATTGGGGGGGTTTTTCTTGGAGGTGCCCTAAAACCCCAAGGTCCAAGTCACACCAAAAATGGCGCCAGCATTTTTCGAGGGCGGTTCTCAAAGTTAGAGTTGAACCAGTTCTTTAACTTCGTGTCCGTTCCCTCCAAAGCCATCAAAGGGGACCCCTATTTTTGAGCAACTCGCTTTTGCTCTGTTTCAGGTAACCCTCAATTAAAGGGTTGGATGGGTGGTTTGGGGTTGAAGCCACATGGGGAAGGTGCGCCCTAGCATTGAAACCACCAAACCAAACCATCAATTGGGGGTAGGGTGACTTTTCTGGGTTGAAAATTCATCCATACGGCAGTGGCTTCCCTTGTAGAGTCCCACAGCTTATGGAATAGCACAATGGGGTGCCCCCCCATTCGGAACGGATTTTTGTTTGGTGGGCTTGGGACCCATTCAAACCTTGCTTAACTCGGGCCTCGATTTGGTTGGACTGGAGCCTATTTGAAGACCCATTGCTCAAAGGACCAAGGCGTTCCTGCAAGTTGGGTGCCCTCTGTGGAAGTAGCTGCGAATCGGCCTTTTCAAGAAGTCTTCCAAAGCCCGAATCTGTCACCTTCCGGTGGAAAGAGGGTAACTTTTCCGTGGCGCATTGCCCCACTCACCAGGAAAGGGATTTGGGCAAGCGCAATCACCAAGATGCGTTTATCCAAACATGGATCCCCTGTTTGTGAGTCTGGTGATATTTAGAGCCGCCTTGGAAAGAGGGATCAAAATGAAGGAGACCTTCCCGAATGAGGCTTGCTTTTGCCAGTTCGCAAAAGGAAGGCATAGGCTTGCGGCATTCCATTTAAGTGTGCCCAAAGACATTGCACATTTGCTGCATCGCTGCTTAAATCGCGTGTTTCGCCAATGGCTACGAGAGCCCTTTATTCCACCATCATTAATGAGGCTCTACCCTGCCTCACGAACGGTGGATGACAAAAATAATTCCCCTTGTTAGATTGTTTTGACGAGAGAGCACACATGCCATCAACCAGTTGTAGGCGTAGGGCCCTTAAACAGTTTGATAAACAAACTGGTCTTCCAAATTAGAATGATGGGCGGCAGAGTTCAAACTATCGCTGTCAATTAAGAGTTGCTCTGGCGTTGGTGCTAAGCATTGCGAGTAGGCATGGCAAAAACATGCAAGCAAAGCATGCACAAACTGTGCAACATCTGAACCAGCATGCCACATGGGAAGTTGTCCACACTTGCGGGCCTTTGGGGACTGGTTTTAGACAGGGGACGGCCAAAGGCCACTTGGGTGCAATAGGGGCCCCGGGACACTCTTCATCCCTGTTTCAGTTCCAAAGGCTTCTCCCGGACCCGCAGATCATCGAAGGGAAATTCTGAAGCTCTCAGCAGCCTCTCCATTCGCTCTCCTGAAGGGGTTTGCCGTGAGGGTGTGGTCCACAGAAATCCACCCGGAGCGATGGAGCCGAGGCCCTTACCATCGCTTGGCGGCGGTGGGCGCAAGCATCGGTGTTGAAGGCGACGGCACTGAGGGTCTTCCTCCGCGCGCAGACTACGTTCCTCCTGCGGCTGCGTTAAATCTTAGGAACTAGGATCCTTGCCTGAATTTGATAGTAAGGGTAAGGAGTAGGGAGGGGTTGACTTGAGGGTGATTCACATGGCATCCCAGATCCAAAGGGCTGCCTTTCTGAAAGACGTGACGAAACCGAGCACGTTTGGAAAGTTCCAAATTAACTTCGTTGCATCCCAAAAAGGCCAACATCAACCTGGGGTCGCTACTACTCAGACACCCAGTGGTGCTTTGCTTTTCATTTTCTCCCCGGCTAATTCGAGTTTGAATTCCAGGACTGTCGGCAGATGCGGGCAAGCACTACGCCGTGCGGAACCTGCGGGAGATCCTTGGGGCGGGGATCCCAAATGGAGGCCAATGCCAAATGGGTGGTTCTCAAAATAGGACTCGGTGCCCTAGAATGCTTGGTGTCCTTTTGTTCCCTTTAAATACCAGCCAAAGGGGGGTCCACCATTTTGAGCAACACTGGTTTCGATGCCGAGTTTGGGGCTGCTTTTTGCCAGAACATCCCGACTGAGGCCTTGATCAAGCTCCCCCTGGAGACCAGCCTCAAGAGCGACCACCTGGGCGTTGCTGTGGCGCTCGAGGAGGGTGTTTGTGCAGGGTGTTTGTGGCCGGGGCAGAATTGTCAGAAAACAGCCCAAACCCTGAGGCTCCCGGTGCCGAAGCCACCTGGCTGCGACAGCCGAAGCCTGAGGCAGAAGGCTGGTGGTGGGTTGGTGGTGCTGGTGGTGGTGTTGCGTGGCGGCGGCGGCGGCGGTCGTGGTGGTGTTGCGTGGCGGTCGTGGTGGCGGTGGTGTTGGTGGTGGTGTTTGGTGGTGGTGGTGGTGTCGTGTGGCGGTTGTGGTGGTGGTTGTGGTTGTCGTGGTTGTGGTTGTTGTCGTTGTTGATGCGGTTGTTGTTGTTGGTCGTGTTGGTGGTGTTGGTGTTGTTGGAGTTGTTGGAGTTGTTGCTGTTGTTGGAGGTGTTGGAGTTGTTGGAGGTGTTGGTGGTGGTGTTGGTGGTGTTGGTGGTGTTGGTTGTGTTGGTGGTGTTGGTGGTGTTGGTGGTGGTGTTGGTGGCGGTGATTGCGCTTGTGGTTGTGGTGGTTGATCGTCGTCGTTGTAATGGCGTTGGTTGTTGTGCTGGGTGTTATAGTTGTTGTGGCTTGGGCTTTTGGCGCTGTGATGTGGTTGCGATTGCTGTGATGTGGTTGTCGTTGTTGTCGTCGTTGGGGTTGCCAAGCTGCTTCAAGCCTGTCCCTTGGTTGTTGGTCGATGCCCGTGATGCTTCGTCCTTGGGCTGCGAGGAGCTGATCACCTTGCTGGTGGAGGTCATCTGCAAACATTGCAGGCAGGAATTGAGATGCAAAGTCCCACTGCCCAAACAACCCACATGCTGCATTCCCCAGGCCACGTAAATGGAGTTGATATGTGCCCAGAAAGTGGACCCACTTGCTTGCACGTCGAACCCCTGGACCCCGCGTATCGCATCGGGATATCCCTTTGCATTTTCCTTTATGTAACTCACTGTGGAGTAGCCTTTTGTCATTTGGAAGGGGGGGATGCGGAACAACATAGAAATGTTTCAGGCAGACGGGTCAACGAATCAGCAATGAAGTTTCAATTTGTCATCTTGGTGCTTGGAGGTAGACTTGAATAGCAGGCACAGTGGGCATGAGGCACAAGGCATCCTGTGCGATCCAGTGGCATAATCTTGAAGCCCAGTTGGTTGTGAATGCCATATTTCTGAGGCGCATGTTCAACCTACTTGTCGCGTGGTGGGGTCCTTCCGCGATTATGTAGCTCCTTTTGCTTTCTGGGGCCTTCAGGTTTGATGCATGGTGTGTGACCATTTGCATGCCCTGGCGCAGGCCTCAAGAAGATGTCTTCAGGCTTGGGCAAAACAGTTTTTTTGGTTTCCCTTCAAAGCAACCCAAGAAATGTACCCTCGACAATTTTTCAGTCTTTAACCCTACAAACAGTCGCTTTAGCTGTTCGCCTTTGAGTCTGCTTGATCCCGTCATTGTTGGAGACACTGATTGTGTTCGCGTGCACGCCTGCGCGCAGGCTGTCTCAATTCTTCCAAGACAGCTCGAATAGACAGGTGCCGGACTTGCTGACTGTTTCGGGCAGGGTGGCCCGTAGGGAGGAAACATAAGAGAACCAAAGGCCCCGAAAGGTTTCTGAGCGCCTCTTTTAGACGGTTTTTTTTGTGCGCGCGCGTCCCGTATTTTTGTTTTGGACTGACTGCATCGCTCTAAGTTGAAAGCAAGCAAAATTGAGACAGGAGCTGCAGAGTTCCTGGGGGCGCAAAGCCTGATGTGAGTAGGGAAAGGATCTGACAAGCATCGCTTGGAACCACAAGTTGCTAGCCCGTTGTGCAACAACGCACACCAAGATCCCGGAGTCTTTTTCCCAGATTGAACAGCCAGAAAGGCCTTGAGTCTCTTAACTTAAATACCAAACTTGATTGCTGGGATCGCTCGCCCGCTGCATTCTCAGTGCATGCTATTGGGACAGTCGAATGTGTTTGCTTCGAACTAGCAGAAGGGGCCCCCCACTAATTTCAATTTGTACAGAATGCACATGGCTGTATCCGTAAATTGTTTGTTTCCTGAAACGGACTCGCCACCACATGGCTGGCCTTCTTGTTGCCCCGATCCAGCAGCATGTCCCCCGTGTTTGGGCCATGCGGCAATATAGGTTGAAACCAGGAGAAGCTGAGCGCCCTTTTTCGACTGCTTTCCTTCTCCTTTGCAGTGCGTTTGTCTCACGAAGCTTTTCAGATTTGGATTGTGCCGATCTCCTTTGGGAAAATGGTGAGAGGTGAAGCTTTTGTCCGTTCCCACTCAGGACGGTCTTCTATCGTCCCCCTATGCCTGCTTTCGCAGAAGCTCGGGTTTCTTTTTCAATTAGGACGGCATGTTTTGACCTACATATCCGCAGCAAGACCCTCTTTTCGCCCGCGCAGTCAAACAAAGGTTGTTTCAATACTGGTGATCTCAAGATGTTTAGACGAGCAGTTAAATTCTCCCCAACCGGTTCGAAAACCCTCAAGCCCTACAAATGTTCCATGTGGGGATTTCTCAAAAAGGTGGACAACCTGTTGGGGGATTTATTTTATTTTATTTTTTTTATCGAACCAACAGGAGAGCCATTTCAGGGGTCCCATTGGACACTGGGGCCCGGCTTGCAGGGGCTTGCCGCAGGGGACGGTCAATGTTTCCCGTTGCGGGACCCCCAGATATCTCCACGACAATCACACACCGTTGCTCAGCCAGGGTCCACTGAGGGGTTCCTCAGGTCAGGTTTGTGATGTTAATGCTAGGGGCGCCACAAATCATTAAGATGTTGGCGCGTATGATCATGATAAATGTTGCTTTCAAAGTACTACACCTCACAACCTCAGTGCCCCTCACAACCTTGCATACTGATACTACTTGGTGATAAACAGGGGGTCTTCCCCATGTTCTCCGTATTCGCATGGAAGGGTGGAGGGTGTGCACCCATATTTGTGCACCCATGGTTCGGGAACCTCAATAGGCATGAATTCTAATTGGGCGACATGATTGAAGTGCGCATTTATGTCCCACTGTTTTGGGAAGGTGTTCCCAAAAGGACCATGGGCAGGTGTAAATGTATGTTTTCCGCGTATAAACTTTCACACTCATATGGCACTCAGGTTTTTCCTAAATTAAAACAGTCACATTGCTGGTAAATGCGCGGGTAGCATTCACTATCCGCTCCTCCAGGATGATGAGGCGGTGCCACCGCAGAAGCTATTGGAAGGCCACATGGCTCGGGGTGTTCAAGACCCAAACAGGGGGGCCCTTCAGCAGAAGGCGCCCACGAGTTTGCTCGTCCTGTCTTGGATGGCAAAATGGGATGTATGGTTTGTGGTTGCGTTCCTGTTTGCCTGGGTGGCCCCTGAAATCTCTTCTCGTTTTGGACCACCTCAACAGGCTGTTACAGGCAAGTTCGCATACACAATTCTGCAAGAACCATCCACTGTGCACTAACCGATAGTCGTATGCCGGGCTTCAGCTGTTTGCAAACTGATTATAGCCAGTGACTAGATTTCCGCCTCGGAGCAAGTCTGGCAGGGCTGGAGAGCAGGTTCCGTGCAAGGAAATCTTTCGATTGGTTCGTTTCCTTGGAAAAAGGATCCCACCTCATAGATGCTTGGATCCTAGTTTTGTCTGGCTGTGTCAAGCATTGCAATGTCCTTTCATTTCCCATATTGGTGCTATGCTTGGGTGGGAATGAAGTAACCCTTGTTTGCAGATGTCTGAAAGCGTGGGGATTTCAGGGTTCAAATGATTTCAGGGTGCAGAAATGAGGGGTGCCGCAGATTTGCTAAGCGCAATGCAGCTCAACCTAGAAACCCTACCAGAATCTTAGGGAAAGGCAACCTTTGTTTGTCAAGTCTAGTCTTCGGAATTCTCAATGCATCCCCTTGGCGACTGTGGTTGTCAGTGGGTGTTTGTTTGAAATTGTTCCCCATTTTCCTTTGAACATCTAAACACACCACCCTCACACACACACACGCAACCTGTGGAGTGCCCCGAAGATTCTAACTCGTCGTCAGGTTCATGCATTCGTTTAGTGACACGTGGCATTGCTGAATACTTTTGTCCCTTTGCTAATTCCATGTGTAAAAATGGCCTGTTCATGACCATGTGCCAGGTGAAAGTGCTATTTTGCTTCTGTTTTGGGTGGGGGGGGTTGGTGCAAAGCGCCATCCTCATTTGTGTGGAAGTCCCATAGTTGCTGGAAGCTGGAAGGTTCCAAAATACTCCTCCTTGTTTCTAAGGGCCGCTCAAAACATCCGGGTATCAGCAGTGGGATAGTGTTTGAATGACAGTGAGGCGTGACCTGTGCAGTGGGCCTGGCCATTGAACTATGAACTCCCACGGTCTTGCGGAAACGCTAAAATGGGGTTCCTTATGTTCAAACCAAAATCAC